CGGGCCCAGCGCCGCCCCGGGCCGGGAGCGCGGGGCAGGGAGGGCAAGGGGAAGCGCGCGGGCGCCGGGCCGCTCCCTCTTTCCCCTCAGCCCGGCCGCCCCGCTCGCGCTCAGGCGCCGCCGCGCGTTACTCGCTGCCGCGCTGGAGCCGGTCTGTTTTAGAGCTAGATGAAATGTCCGCCGAGTAGAGAAGACTTAATTTTAAAGGAGAGGTTCCTATAAATATATATTGCAGAGAGGGTTATTTTTCCTAGCCTTTATTTTTCATTTTTTACCTCAGAAAATCGATCGGCCTGCTCTTGGGAGAATTTGGGCTAAATTGGACTCTGAAAGCAAAACCAGGGACCTGGCTTTGGGGAGATCAAGGACGGGTTTGCTCCAGAGCTGACGGAAGAAACGGTCAGGAGCTGGCGTGTGGAATTTTGGCTTCGTGTCTGAGCCCTGCTCTCCTGGAGGCTTAACTTTGGGTTTTTTCTGATTTCCAGGCCTCCCCTCCCCCCTCAGCCGCTCTCTGTCCCGGGGCCTGGCGTGGCGGAGCAGCCGTCCTGGTCACCGGCCTCCTGCCAGCCCCTCCCTCTCAAGCTGGGCCTGCAGGCCCCCACTTCGTGAGGCTTTTAAATAAGATTTTGAGCTTTCCCCCGGTTTGATTTCTTAACAAAAAGCTTGAGTTAAAGAAACCCCAAGAATAAAACCCTTTTAGTTCCCGGTGGGCTTGCGTGCTGAGCAGAAGATGAACGCGGCTGCCAGCAGTTACCCGATGGCGTCGCTGTACGTGGGGGACCTGCACCCCGATGTCACCGAGGCCATGCTCTACGAGAAGTTCAGCCCCGCTGGGCCCGTTCTATCGATTCGGGTCTGCAGGGATATGATCACCCGCCGGTCCCTCGGGTATGCCTATGTCAACTTCCAGCAGCCAGCGGATGGTAAGTGGCATCTACAACCACATCTACAGCTTCTTTTTTCACTTTTACTCACTTTTTTTCTCACTAATCCACAGTGCTGTTGGCATGTAGTGCCATGTAGCTGCCTACAAAGTGTTAAAGTTACAGGGTAAGTAATCACTTGCTAGTGATTGTGAAGCTGGAATGTTTTTTTACAACTTGTCTCCAAAATACTCTGCAAATGTACATCATGGTAACATCTCTGATAGACCTATTTTTCTCTTAATGATATTAAACTTTGGAGACTTGTTTTTGTTCCTTGCATAAGAGAATAATCTCCGCTGTGTTCCCCTTTGTTCCTGTGTTGGTTTGGGCTGTTTGTGGGGGTCTTAGTGCAGTTGGTCCTGGCAGGAAAAGTTCAGAGCAGTCAGGCAAGGTTGAATGCTCAGTTTGACTGGCTGAGCCTCTGGCTGCCCACTCGCTCCAATTCAATATTTGGGACATCTGGGGGACTGCAGGCTGCTGTGTTTGTGCAAGCAGCCGGATGAGTCTCTCAGTCTGGGAAGTGGTCTTCTTATATTGGAGTCATAGAATGGGAAACAAGATGCATTGTTCAGTGCACGGGAAATCAGGTTGATTTGCTCTTGCCAGACGCTTTTTTTTTTCTTTTTTTTTTCCACACTTTAATTTGGCTCCTGTTCAAGTAGGTATTCCAGAGCTGAAGCAGCAGTAGCATGTGAAAGCTGGGACAGAAGAGGTCATTTTGGAACATGTCTTTGCTGGAAGAAAAATGGGTCAGCGTTTTCTGCCCTAGTTTTCAGAGCTTTTGCTTGTTGACTGTGATGCAAGTTTATTGCTCTGCTGTGATTTAGCAGTATCTGTATGCGTTAGAGACATCCAAAGGATAGATGAGAGTGAACTTTTCCCCTGAATTCAGAATCAATTCACAGCAGCACAGATTTCAGCAGCAAGTAAACTTTCCTTTAGCCTGTAGTAGCTTATCCTGCTGTACATTTTTACAGACAGCAGAGGGTGGTCTGTTTGTTGCACAGGGTAATATATTCACTTTGGATCAAAGTGTTTCTTATGTGGAAAACAGAAATGCTATTACAAAATTGTATTCCTGCAAGCTAGCAGAGCCTCTGGGATTGAGCTCTGGGCTGGAGCATTTGGATTTTATGTAGTGTGTTGTGACTATGTGCCATCCTAGCTTCCATTCTCTCCCAGGTCAAAGTACCTTCTGCATGTCCTTTCCCTGGGATGCTGACTGATCTAATCAAGCACTTCTGATCCTGTCTCTTGCCAGGCTGGTAAAAAGCTGGCTTGCACCCTAGTCCATAATTTCTCTTTCATGGAACTCAGAAGTGCTTTTTATGTGGGCTAAGCAACGTACTTATGTTTTTAAACTTCTCAGTGAGAAGGAAAGAACCTGAGAGCCTGTATATGTGGTCATTTCCCGCTCTGATGAACCTGTCTGCTCAGACTCCCTCTTACAAAACCACCTTGGTATGTTCTTGTGCTGTACAAGCAAAGGCACAGTCAGTTACCCAGGCTCACCTGTCTTTGTCTAGGCTGTGATCTCATTTTGCAGGATTAGAGAAATAAAAACAAGCAGCAGAAGTAAAGCCAAGAAGGAACTCGGAGCTCAGATTAGATAAGTGTCAGGGAGGTGGGGTGCAAAACACTATGGATAAAGTTCTCTCAAAGTTGAGAAGACCTGGATAGTAAGCGTAGTTATGATCGTAAGGGAAGAGTGGCTAGTGACATGTGCTTGCTTTAGCAGAAAAGTTCTGCTCCTCATACAAATACGAAGACAGGTGGCCTTCCAATATATTTCAAGATAATCTTTTATGGTAATAAATAAGCAGGAATTTAGAGGGAGGTTGCAACATTCTGGGCTCCTGGTAAGGCAGTAGACACTTTGGGAAGTCTAGAACTTAGTGACACTTTGACAAAGTAAGTGGTGTCTTGTTACCGGTAGGTCTTAGGAGGTCAAGTGATTTAAGCCTAATCATAGAGTTACTATTGGGAAGGAGAAATATTCAAACTTCTCCTGCCTGCATGAAGAGATCTCTTCTTAAAAGTTCAAAATCTCTTCTGTCTTGCAAACTGCAGCATGTGTTACTTTTATAAGTAAAAACCAGCTGCTGTACTACATGTAATGCAGCAGAATATAAGGAGATAATTTTGGAAAGGTGAACCTGTTGGTTGTGTGTTGCAGTCTCCCCGAAACAAAGACCCAAGTATGAAGAATATAATTTTTAATCCCAAATGCAGAAAATTGGCTTTTTTCTTTTTCAAGGTGGCAGTACTCAGTACTGCCTGCTTGAGAGCTTTCTGGGAGAAGGGGGGATCAGCATTTGCTTCCAGGAATGCACAATCAGATGGACTTCATTTTACTAAATCTGGGAAAAGGTGGGGGGTGTTCTGTAGCACTGTAGGGATCTGTTTTGATTCATGGGTGGTAGTAGATACTATGAAATATCATATAAAAGTAATCGTGCTCTGTAAACTTTTAGGGAAGTTCTTGTGGACACGTTAGTATGCTTTAAGTGATAGTAGGTATTCAAGAAGTTGATATATGACTGTTTGTGCTTCCCTGGCAGCTTTTGTGGAAGGATGAGTGTTTTGTAAATCTGAAGAAAACCACGTTAACTTTTTTGTGTGGTAAATAAGACTCTGTTCTTATGGCTAGAGAAAGGCCACAGAGTTAAGTAGCCAGAATTACATGGGGCCACCAGGAGATCACACTGTCGCATCCTGAACATGCTCGGTACTTCCAGAGTTCCTGTGTCCAAACTGGGTCAAAGCTTACGTTTTTCTCTACATTTTTCTTAGCTAATGGAGTGGTGCTTGACCCTGGAAGGGGTTACTTTCTGCACGTACATTGTCTGTCTGTTAGTCTGCTGCAGAGAGGTTATTTTTAGTGAAAATAAGCTGTGCTGTTTTCAATTGCAGTTCTTTGGTGTCATAAGCAGTGAATGCTGAATACTGAATCTGTCATACGCTGATAGGCAGATTAAGGAAATGCTTCAAAGTTCTGGCTGGTTCGGGCTTAGCTGTGGTTTAATATTCTTTTTGGCTGTGGAGAAGGGAAAGAAGCTTATTTAATTTGAAAGGAAAGCTGAATTTCCTTTTTCATATGTTCCTCATGCAATTTAATTGCATTCCAGTCTTTCAGAACACTGACAACAGTCATGATGTGACAACTCAGATAACAAAGCAGAGAAATTTTAATATGGCTATAGAGATAAGCTGTTCTGGAAGTACAGAGAAAACAGAACATTTCCCAAGTCAAGAAGGAACCTAGAGCTGGGGTTAGATATGTGGCTCTGAAGAAAGGTGTAGAAGAGTGTAGATAAGCTTTTTGTCTCTTCTCTTCCTTAAAGTCGTCAATGTAAGAGAAGAGCTGTGTAACATAAATGCAGGTGTGAAGCTGAAAGGGAAGAGTTTTTACTTAAGTATGCTTCATTGCCAACAGCATTTTGTTCTAACTTCAGTGATCAAGGACTGAAGTCTGTTCTGTATGCAGCACACTTTTTTGAAAAATTAAGTGGTTAAATTTGTGCTGTGTGCTTTTGTTGTTGGCTCTTTTTTGCTTAGTGGTGTAAGTGAGAGCCCGGCTTTGCAGAGGAGCCATCTTTACAGCATGAAACTCCTTGTACAGAGTTTCTCATGGGTGAATCTTGGTGTGTGCATGTGGTTATCTGTCTTTATGCTGCTCAACCACAGTTACTAATTCCAGCATTGTGTTAGCTCTGCACCAGGGAGCCTGTAAGGGAGATTATTTACTTTGAGGCCTAAGGCAAGCTGCAAGGAGTGTTTGTATGCTTTCCCTATCCAGAAGGCTATGGAAGCAAAATGAAAAGGAAGCCTGAAAGGGATTAAGAGTGTGTATAATGTTATATATGAGTTGCAGTCGGGTCTGGTGAAGGATGACAGGAACCAGTGGGAGAGAAACATGTACAGGAACTGAAATGGCTGAAGCTTTGTGGTTTAAATAGAAGAAAATGAGAAAGCGTTTGCTCAGATTAAGGAATTGAATCAGATATGCTTAGCCTGAGTCATTCACATAGCTCATGCTGATCTGTTACATGTTTTCTTAGGTACTGGTGTAATGTGATGGCATTTCCACCTGTGGGTATGGCAGACTCAAATCAGGGAATCCATCTAGGGCTTTCTTACACCACTGCTCACAAGAAGTGTCAGAGTAAATTTCAAGCACAGTGTAATAATAGAGTGGAATACTAGCAAGCCAGTGAAAGAGCAGTGCAATAGTATCTGCTTAAGTATGTGCTTAGGAAGCTTGAAAGAACTGGGAGTAAGTTCACAACTAGTCTGTATCTTGGTAGCTGCTGCAGAGTGCTTCACAGTTCCCTCTGGTT